AAGCTAGGAACTGGGAAAAGGGTGAAAGAGGACAAAACCATTTACTGCCTAAAGGCTCTCTCTGTTGGATACTTGGCAAGTTACTGGCTGGAACTAACTCGAGATTAGAAAAAGTAGTCTAGGAAGCCAAACAGTAATCAAAACCATTTGATACATTACATATGCCTGAACAATTTTGAGCTCTTTTTAAAATAAATTGTTTTCTGTTGCTGGGCAGAGTGGCTCAAGCCTCTCTAAGTCTAGCTGGCTTAAAGGCAAAGGTTGGGGTATCATAGTTTGAAGCCAGCCTGAGTACTCCATTTGAACCCATGGCTGGGCATAGTCATCCATGCCTGTGATTCCAGCTAGAGGGGAAGCACAGTGGCTAAGTGCAGTGGTGAGTTTATGCTTATCACCCTAGTGACAAGAGGAAACACAAGTACAAGGATCGTAACCCCAGCTACTGTGGGCATAAACCAATGTAAAAAGGGACTGAAAAGGTGGCTCAAAGGGTAGAGAACCTGCTTGACAAAGTTGCTTTAAGGATAACTCCTAACACCAAAGATGGAAGGAAGGAAGGAAGGAGAGGGAGGGAAGGAAGGAGGGAGAGAGGGGAAAGGAAAGGAAAGAGGAAAGGAAAGGAAAGGAAAGGAAGGAGGGAGGGAGGCAGGAAGGAAGGTAGGAAATTGTTTCCTTTAAACACAGGTACTCGGCTGGAAAGACCACTGTTCTAGGCAACCTCAGGCAAAAAACAAACAAAAGAAAGAAAGAAAGAAAGAAAAGAAAAGAAAAAGAAATAAGTTAATAAGACCTGAACTCACCAAACAAGGCTGGGGAGGATGTAGGTCTGGTTCAGCAATATAACACCTTCTTAGCAAGTTCAAATAACAACAGCAACAAAAAGTAGGCATGAGGCTGTACTAGGCAAAAACATGAGGCTCTCTGAAAAATAAACTAAGGCACAAAGGGCTAGAGGTGTGGCTCAAATAATGAAGCATCTGTCTAGTAAACTCAAGGTCATGAGGTCAAAGCCCGGATACTGCCAAAAAATTAAAATTGTTTTGAATATTCCTTGTTTTTGTCACCAACCAGATGGAAGAGAACCGAGCAGAGCCTATGGTATGTGTTAATAAGTGTCTTCATTGAATATTTCAAAGAAAAACATTCCTTTAGGCACACTAAAGATTGAACCCAGGACCTGAAGCATTGCTTTACTACTGAGATTTGATGTTCTATACCAGTTACACAGCTTTTTACTTTCTCATGTTTTTTTCTGATTGTCCATGATTTCTTTTCAAACTTTTTTGTGTCAGTACTTGGATTGAACTCATGGCATTTCATTTGGCTTTTTTACTCATTGTTGGTGCTCATCTACTGGAGCCACACTCTCTGTGGGCATTTTTACTGGTTAAGTGGAGATACATGTCTTAAGAATTTGTCTGCCCCAGCTGGTTTTGAGTCAAGATCCTCAGATCTCAGCCTCACAAGTAGCAAAGATTGTAAGTGTAAGCCACCGCTGCCCCACTGTTCCCCACTTCTTTTACTTTCCAAAATATTCTAAAGTGGCTGGGCAGTAAATCTGAGCCATGAAAAAATGGCTGACAGCTGACCAGGGAATTATTTAACTCAGGCTATAAAACTGCTGGTTTTAGGCAGAGATTCATATTCATCTGAAGGTTAAAAAAAAAGGAGACAGAATCTGGGAAGGGAAAAGCCAGGAAAAGGAAGTAACAAATGTCTTCCTCTTCCCAAATCACAAATTAAAATGTGCATTTTTGCACATAAGAGCTAACCTTCTGATTAACACCCATTGCGCTGTACTTACAAGGCAAGGCTCGGCTCTTACTTCATATAAACGTAGTATCTTTATGTTTTCGGATCTTATTTTGGGGCTACCGTTTGGATGTAAAATGTTATTGATAGTGATTGAGGTGACATGGGTCGACAGGGAATTCCAGTGACAAGCTTACAAACGTATCCAGACATACCCTAGGAAATGCCTCCCTTTGGCTGCAGCAGTGCTCAACTGCTTTCATGATTATTAGTCTTTCCACCATGTCTGCTTTGCTCTGAGTGCTGGGGTGGGATTCTTCAGTATCTCCATCTCTAGGCTTCATTCCTTCTCCAGCCTGTACGTTGGCAAAGGATGGAGTACTTGATGCAGGCCCCCTTTAACCTTCCTCAGCCCTCTCTTCTCATTACATCCCAGGGAAATGCATTTGGGAACACCAGAGAAGCTCCCCGCAGGGCGACGGATAAGGATGGGTTATAAGGTGAAGCAGATGTCACTCCCCTCTGATGACCCCATTACCACTCATTCAATTAGATAACACATTAGGGTAAACACACCGATGTTCCAGAAAATTGCTTTCCTTTGGGGAACTCATCCTTCACCTACCAAGAGATGAAAGGGTCTTTTGCCTTTTCAGGAACAAAAGAATAATAACATCAACATTTGCTGTCATCCAATTCATGTTTGCTATTCTTGGTGTTTCCTATTACCTCAGTATCCATGTTGAGTATCAGTTGGACTTTGTCAGACCCAAAAGCAGGGCGCACCAACACTTGACATCCATTTCCAGGTCTACCCTTCACCCCGATTCTTCAACATGCATAATCCAGATTATTGTTGTTACCTTTAAGTAGTTGTACCAAGGGGTGTCAATTCAACAAGTCAAACTGTACATCCAATGCTTCTTGACCAGCATCACCCCTGATATTCACCTTAAACAACGGCTTCCTGGTAACCACTTCCTAAAGGGACAGTAAATTCAGCCTCTGTAACTGACCCCACTGACACCCCAGAGGGGCGGTATAGATAAGTCACAGTGATCATCTCTCCATCACTCTGTGGCCCCTTTGGAACTTGTGTCTAACTGTCTAAATCTTACCAAGTCAAAGTCCCCTTGGGAAATATGTTCAGATAACACTCTGGGCCCAATAGAGGAATTGGTTCCATGTGTTCCATTCTATATCCGCGAGCATCTTGAATGTTGTACAACTGTAGCTTCTGGGTGTGCTGTGTGATATAAAATCTTTATATCATCTGGGTCTCTCCTATTCATTCAAAGTGTGGTCTCCACATTAAAGTCCCTAAGTTAATGTGTATATGATCATATAAAATAACATTTCACAAAATGAAGTCCAAGAAATGGAAACGAAAGATGTGTTGTTGCTGCCGCTGTTTTTGTTGTCTTTTCCTTTTGTCTTGTTTGGTAGTTTATTGGTCTTTGGGAGGATAAAGAGGGCACAGTAAAAGTGTGACAGAGGGTGAACAAATATACCAGAGGTGTTCACCAGCCACTGTGGAAAATGAACTATACAACTCGTGATTGGAGCTGGGAGGGAGCAACTGGGAGAGAGCAAGGGAAGGGGTGGCAGGATTCACAAAGAAATGGACTCATCGCCCAACTTATGTAACCATAACCCCTCTGTACATCACCTCTACAAAAACAATAAAATATTTTCTAATTGATGGGGGGAAAAGGAGCCTTAAGTTAAGCAATGGGGGAATGCTAAGCACTTTACATCTGTTACTATTATTGTCTCATTTCATATTTAAACGCTAGAAGGAAGGCATGGGTTCTGTGTTCAAGTCCTACCTCTGCCGCTTCTAAGTCATGCACCTGTGGGGAAGTTGTATGAACTCTCACATTTTAGAATCTAAGTCTATGGGGGATGAGGAATACAATACAATTCCTACAGTACACCAGGAACAGTGTTTGGTGCATGGTGAATGCTTGAAATTGTTCAATGATCATTGCTATTGTTTTTCCCATTTACAAGATGAAGAAAAGCTAAGGACTAAAGGATTTGTAATTTGCCTTAAACCTCAGAATTAATCCAGATCATCTGGCTTTAGAAGTCAAGGAATTTGTGCTCAGTCACTAGTAGTTAGCAGGAGATGAAGAACAAGAAACAGGGTTTTAAATAATCAATTCTCTCCACACCACACTCAAAAGTGGAGGAATCGTAGGGAGCTGTGTTGAATTCAGTAGACTGCAACTATATCCAAGATCTTATTTTAAAGAGAACGGAATTGTCAAGTCAGGGCAATACCTTGTTTAAAAGGCCTGTGGATCATGAAACAATCTCTCTTTTGTCTTTTGAGTCAGAGCACTAAACAAGGCCATTGGTATGGCAGGTTTCTGCTCTGGAGAGGAAAAGGCTACATGGGGAAAAGAGCCAAACACCTTGGCCTATTTGGGACAATGAAACTTCCCTCTCTCCTGTCTTGTGGAACTGCCCAGGTTCCAGATGGGAGCCAACTCCTGTTCCATAGGAACCAAAGGCTCTCAGACACCATTGTGTATCCCTGAGACTCAACATGACACTTCATTTGCTGTGAGTACTACCCACTGCTCATGTTTCCTGGATATGATAATGCCTGTAATCCTAGCTGCTCAGAAGGCTGAGATCTGAGAATTGAGGTTCAAAGCCAGCCTGGGTGAACAACTCAGAGAGTCTAACCTTCAATTAACCAGCCAAAAGCTGGAAATAGAGCTATGGCTCCAGGGGTAGTGCCAGCCTTGGGCAAAATAAGCTAAGCAAGGACACTAGTACTGACAAACACACATCAAAAAAGGATGCTGTGGATGATAGTTCTATAAGAAAGTGCCAGTTAAGTTTAAAACACTTGGCTTTGGATATGCATCACACATACATACACACATTCATATTTGAAGAGTGTATAAAGTATCATATATAAACACAAACAGATACATACATAATGCAGGATTCACTCCAGCAACTGTGCTATGGATTTCCTTATATGCCCAACTTTATTGATACAAAGATCCCTTTGTATTTATGAGTCACAGAGTTGAAACTAGTGTAATGTTTCTCTGGTAATTGTGTCTCATCTTGTGCTTCCTATGTGTCCTATTTTAAGCCAGCCCAGCTGAAGTGAGTAATTGACTGGGCAGTGGGGCCCATTTATCTTAGCAGGACAAAGATAAATGAGAAGGCTGCCCTGCCCGAACATGCAGCCCTGCCCGGAGGCTACACACGTCAAGACTCACCAGATATTGGGTAAAAATGGAAACATCTTCAGTGCTATTGTCAGCGTTCATTCTCAGCAACCTCCCAAGACTAGGGGACCTTACGACTGTGAAAGTTACAGTTCTGTTTCCTGCACTTTCATCATTGGTCACAGCTTTCAGGTCACGAGATGAAAGAGGCTTTGTAGATCCTGAGTAAAGATCAAGACATGTGTGTCAATATAACACAAAAGAAATGGCCAGCTAATGCAATCATCTTGATAGACCCCTGACAACTCCTGGAAACTGCATGGTTATGAATGCGGAGATTGACTGGACAGCCCTAACTAGAAATGAAGCTATGAGAGGCTAGTAGTCCCTGAGGTGTCACTTTGTGGGTACCATTTGTTCTTGTGACCCCAGGAAATCAACTTCCCTTTCCCTCCCTCTGCACAGGCGAGATATCTAACTGATCTCTAGGGAAGGAAGGCAAGGTCGAGGCTTGCATGGCATCTAGCTGGGCCCAGGGTTAAGAGCAGAGAAACAGATCATGTGGTACTTAGAACACAAGAGACTGTGCCCCCCTTTAGAGAGTGGGAATTGGCTTTTGAACAAACATGAGCTATTTTCTGGGGAGCAAAGGTCAGCATGAACACTGACACAGAAAGAACTAGCAACACATAAGTTTTGATGTTAATACAATCTCATTGGTATCAAGAGACCAGAGAACTTGGGGACACTAAGGTTAGCCTCGTGCTTTTTGATGCTCTGTGGAGAAGGATCAGTGTTTCCTTCCTCCACTGTGGACCAATAATGTGCACAATACAATAAAAATGTCATGGCAATGCCAAACTGCTATAAAAATTTCTAAACACTTTCTCTTGTTTTCCATTCTTATCAGTTCCTAGAATGGAAGGTCCATGGACACACTTGGAGGAGTACAGGGTCAGAGATCATCCCTTTATTCTGTCATGATTTAGGGGACATGGAAGGGAAGTCTGAAAAGACTCACTTCCTCTTTCCAGTCTTCATTGCTTCAGTTCTAGCCCTTGGGAAAGGGTAGCCCTGTTGAGTAGGCACATTATGCATTATTTATGAGGTTGAATCAACCACCCAATGATAACTAAGCACCCTGGATGACATCTGGGTTTGCTTTCTCTACTAGTGCTTTGTAGTCTTAGAGCAAAAGCCACCAGATGTAGTGTTTAAAACACATTAGGCATTTGCTAATTTGGAGGAAAAACCAGCTTCGAGTGTGGATGCTCTCCAGATTTTTAAGGATTGTTCTGAGCTCTCAGTTGGAGACTTCATTTAGAATATCTCAGCTTTTCTGAGATGAGCACCACATCCTTGTAGTAAGGCTGGTGAACTTGTGAATGTCAGCTTCAGGAACAAGTTTGGGTTGTTACACAATGCTCAGGTGATGTTTGTAACTGCCTTCCTCGTTCCTCTCACTTCTTGCTGCTGAATTTTTTTGCAGTTGTGGCTTCTTTCTGGCTTTGAAGCTGAGAACCAATATGGAAGTCACAATAGAGAGGCGAAGAGCAATGCTAGTGTGTCCATAGTTGCTGTTACAAAGTTCTCACTGGGGCGCATTCTGTTTCTTTCAAGGCAAGCACTTCCTATAATAGAAATTTCCTATGTCTCGTGTGTGTTTGCTCAGTCCCTAAGCATCCCAGCATCCAACAGTTCCATCTTCATTTTTTTCTCTGGAACATTTTCCCACTGTACTTTCTTAATTACTTCCTTCTTATAAAGGACCCTAACTTATAGTTATATACTTCTTCTTTCACCACCTAAATTTTACCTCTAAGGGAGTAGGAAGTCAAAAGGCTTCTTTTCCTTTTTTAAAGAAATGTTACTTCTTCCAACCCAAATTATATGAAATATCTTTTGGAATATGGAGGTTTTTTTAAAAAAGTATCTGGACTCTCAGACATAGAATCAACCTAAGTGTCCATCACTAGGTAAGTGGGTAAATAAAACAGGATAAGTATATTATTTCGCTATAAAAGGGATGAGATCTTGTCATTTGTGACCATGCAAATGGGACCTGGAGGTCATAATGTTAAGTGAAATAAATTAGGAGCAGAAAGACAGATGTCGTATAGTTCACTTGGATGTAGAGAACCTAAGAAGCTGAGAAGTAGAGAGCAGAATAGTGCATAGCAGAGAACAAGGAGGGTAGAGGAGACAGGTGATGAGGAGACTGGCCAATGGGTAAAAAGTCACAAGCAAATAGAAGAAATAAATTCTGCTGTACGGTTATGCGGAAGGATGACTAAAGCCCACACTATTGCACTGCAAAATCTAAAATTACTTGGAGAAAAGGAATTTGAATATTTTATCATTAAGAAATAAAACATATTAGAGGTTATAGATAACCCAAGTTAATCACCAGGCAATGCATAAATGCACTGAAATATCACAGTGTACCCCACAGAGATTACTAACAGAGCTATCTGTTAATTAGAAAATAAATTGTGAAAATATCATTTCATTTATCTTAGCCTTTGGGGCTGAGAACCCACCAGAGCTATTCCAGCACCAAATGGAAGGATCTATTCATCTCTCCTTCTTTCATCCACCACCTAAGCCAGAATGGCATCGAAGTTTCCTTTCTACTCAGCAAGCACTCTGAATTGCTCAATCAGCAAGAGCAGCTCAATCATGCTGCAAATTCCTAAAGGCACCTCTAAAGCCCAGCCCAACTCAACAAAAGCCAAATGTCCTCTTCTCCCCTCCCACCTTATGTCATCCAAGTTGTTGGCATTAGGGAGCTCCCAACACTTGTTTTGGGAATGACTTCTGTAAGGTCTTAGCTATGTCTTTATCAGTAAAATGTTTGTCCTATAAAAGGCCGGGTCCTTAGTGCTGAGGACTGTAATTGCTTGGCAAGCCCTCACTCCACCGACACACCTGGGAGGTTTGAAAAGCCACTGCAAAGTCTCAGAACAAAGGAAAGCTGCTCATTGGTTTGATCCTCCTTCTAAACAAAGCATTTCTCAAACATCCTTGAATCCCAGTTGCTCATGAAATGTACTGCTACCATAATAGCAAGAGTTTCATGATCACCAGGCATTGAGGCTTTTGTACTTCTTCCACAAATATTGAGGAGTTAATATGTGAAAATCCCTACAATAAGGAGCAGAGGAGATCCAGAGGCCAAGCACCCCAACCCAAAAAGCCAGCATCTAAAATGCTCCAAAATTTGAAACCTATCAAACCCCAACGTGACCTCATCAATGGATGAGATGGATTGTAGCCAAACCTCAAGTACACCAAAAACAACTTCTGCTGTACAATTACACAGAAGGGGGACTATATTAGTAAAGTATATGGAAAGCATAAATAGTTCATACTTAATTTCCATACCCAAGATAATTCATCATGTATATGCAAACAGTCAAAACAATTTCAGATAAAGTATACTCAACTTGAACTTAGAAATATCATGAACATGTTTGCCCTGCCCTGCCCTGCCCCTCCCTTGCTCCTGTCCTTTTCTTTTTCTTTTTCCTTCCCCCTTCCCTTTCCTCCTCTTCTTCCTTTTTCCCATTCCCTTGTTTTCTCGTTAGGCAACAAATCACGTATTTATTGGCTATCTCTTAAAAAGTCAGGACTACTGATCTGTTAATTCAGTCCTATGAGCAAGAAGAAATGTGCCCTATAAGTATAAAAATATTGTTAAGTATCAAATCTATCCTGTTAACTTGATATCTGGAATTTAAACATGGTTCTTTCTCTTCTCTTTTCAGCAGTTACTTAGTGAAACAACCCTCAGTGCAGTACACAAGAAAGTATCAGTATTAACTGTTCTATATGCACAAGTGTGTGCTGGTCGTTTCCTATGTTCTTGATGCACATCACCCTTTTACTACCCTGAAACTGGGGTCAGTATTATCCCAGATGACCAAACAGAGGCAAGAAGACACTGAGTCACTTACCCAAAGCAACAAAGCTCTGTAATGGTGAATCAGGATTGAAACCCAGGAAAAATTATTCCAGCACCCCGTGTTTTTTATATTCTTATTAGCATATATTATTCATAGAAAGGAGTTTCACTGTGATGCTTCCATATACATATACAATGTACCTCCATTAAATCCAACTCCACTACCTTTCCCCATCACTTCTAACAATTTCAGTGGGTTTCATTTTATACATGTGTATAAAGTACTTGAATCATATTCACTCCCTCATACTCTCTCTCCTTTCTCCCTCCCCCTCCTGTAGTATCTCACCAGAAACAGAAATTGTTTTACAATCCTATACTTCATTATTAACGGCTAGATTTTGTATATAAGAGATATTTGACTTCCTCAGTGATGTATTTTACTTAACATGATGATCTCCACTTCCACCCATTTTCCTGCAAATGATGTAATTTCACTCTTCCTTTTGGCCTAATAATAGTCCATGGTATGTGTGTGTGTGTGTGTGTGTGTATACATATATATATATATATATACATACATATATATATATATATATTCCTTATTTGTCAGTCAGTAGACACCTAGACTGATTCTATGTTTTGGTTATTGTGGATAGTGCTGCTATAAACACAAGTGTGCAGGTATCTTGACTGTAAGTTGACTTGTATTCTTTCATATATATGCTTAGGAGTGGTATAACAGGATCATATAGCAGTTTACCTTTAGCTTTTCAAGATCTGTCCTTTCAAGATATCACAGTAACCCTAAGAAGCTTGTAGCTGTTATCCCTTCACTAAGAAAGTATAATAATTTTTACAGGTATCAGAAGTTAAGCACCTCACCCAATGGTCAAGGCTAAGTGGACTTACATTTCACTCGGAAGTGAACAGCTTTAATCTTAATACTATATTGCTTATGTCATTCTACACTGAGCTCAATGGGTACAATGATATCTGAGTTAGGAAATTATGTGATTAATCATCCTGAGAGATTTTCTCCCCCTCCCCCCTTCCCAAGAGAGCCTCCTCTTCCTTTGTTCTCACTTCCAAGTAGTGCTACCCTCCTTGGCATGCTCACCCCGCCTTTGTGCACCTATCACAATGCTACTCATTCTATAGGGGCAATTCAAGGCTGTCTTAGTGACCAGTGGTCCCTGGCTATTCCAGTCTATGGGAAGATCCTCCTCTGTACCCATGTAGCACTCAGTCTATCACTTGCGGGTCACTTACTATTGTGTATTCTGCATGATGATTCTACTCTTAATTATGTGTTCC